TGGTCTTATCCAGATTAAACTTGAAGAGAATAAACTCTAATCTGACCTATGTGAGCTGCGTGAACATTATTATAGCAACATAAAGGTAAGCATTAGATTTTCTCTGTATATTCCACCCTTCCCTTTCCCCGATCTTCTCAAGGGACATTCATGCACATAGAAAATAGAAAAGACTCCTTTCTTTTTTTCTAAAATTTTAAGCTCTGAGAGAAAAGCCTAGACAGTGTCTTCAAGACACATCAAGAGGAGATTTCCACCATCCTAGAGAGAGCGCAAGAAGATGGTGATAAATAAGTTGGAGAGCTCTTGGGCAAGGGTTCATTGTATGAATGAAAATAGTACATCACCTGATACCTCTGTCCTCTTGATGATTCATGTAATTCTGTCTCAGGCTTCTTCTCTTTTTCCCCTTCCCCTCCTCCTTCTTGTCAGGGCATGCTCTGATTCCTCATGCTATGACCCAATCCATTCTCTTTCCTACCGATGGCTACCAAAGCAATGATAAACCCTGGCTTTGCTAGAAAATGAGCATCACTTGCTGCAAAATTTGACTTGGTCATGGAGTACCAGTGACTGGTTTAATGTTTTCTAGGAGCGGGAGCAGAGAGATTATTAAAATTGCGAGGATGAATCTTTTTGGCTCATAGCGGAGACCAAGAAGGGTCTTTATAAAAGAGAGAAAGAGATGTAAGGGAGAATTCAAATAACATCAGATGAAGAGTGTTCTGCAAGCAGACACCAAACAGAAAGCAAGCACACTCCTTTGAGAGTTAGGTGTACTGTTAACAAGAGATAAGAAATATTTTGACAGTAATTAAAATGGGTGGCATTTTCCAGCAGGAGCAATTTTTTAAATTATTCAATATTATAGGAAGAAAAAAATAAAAGAAAATGTAATACACACAAAAAATCAGAAAAATTGGAAAATAAAATTCTTATCTGATTAGTTACAGGTGTAATTAAATATTTAGCACATGCCTGCTGATAGAGCAAAGACATTTTCATGAAAAATGTATACTACTAGCTTTTCTTTTTATGTCCACACACCTTTTTATTACAGAAAAACACGAATTCCCTCTATTGATAATTCTCATCCATTATCTCTGTTTGTCATTATTGCTGCTGTTCTTTGCTGATTAGTGTGTTGGGAGGCACAGGTACCTTCCCCAGAATGTTTTGCAAAAACAAATTTGAGACCATTTGATTTCTAACAGAAAATTTTCCCGGTTTTCTTGCTCTGCTGTTGCTATGCCATGTGGTGTCTGCCGGCTGGAGCTGAACAGTCAATTATGCGGTTTCTAGGCAGAAAAATGCTTGCACTGCAAGGAGATGTCTAAGCATCCCATGGTAACTTTGGCAATATGTATTTTCTTTATTCCTTTGTGCTCTTAAGGGTATAATTCTTCTGACCTTGCATATTTTCCTATGGTGCCATGCTGCGTGTTAAATCCAAAATTAATGATTTCTTCCTCAAAGGCTAAGTGTTACTACAATTCACACAGTTTAGGTATATTTTTTAAATGTATTTTAAACTATTTAAAATTGTTCATTACGCTTTATATTACAATTCATAACCCTTAAAAACCTTAATTTCTGGTTAAAATTAAGAAGTAAACAGTTGTGGGGGCATCTGGGTGGCTCAGTTGGTTAAGTATCCAACTTCAGCTCAGGTTGTGAGCTCGCAGTCTGAGTTCGAGCCCCATGTCGGGCTCTGTGCTGACAGCTCAGAGCCTGGAGGCTGCTTCAGATGCTGTGTCTCCCTCTCTCTCTGATCCTACCCCACTTGCACTCTGTCTCCCTCTCTCCCTCTCTCTCTCTCAAAAAAGTAAAAAACTACAAAAGAAGTAAACAGTCGTGGACTGTCTCTTATCCTAGCATTCCTAGTGGATTAGCATATTTATGAATACTTTTTACAACTTTTAGAAATGCATGCTTTCTCGTAGTAAATTTTTCAGGGTGGCAAAGGACATGCTTACTAACAGACCCAAATAGCTTTAGTTCCTCTGTAAAAGGAAGCCAAAAGTAGACAAATCTATGCTCAGTAAATTTGAAAATAAATAAAATTTTAAAATAAAATAAAATAATTCATTAAGTTTGTTAAAAGTCCTAAAAATATCTAGTAATATCTGATTAATTCAGCTGAGTTCCATTTTTAAAAGTGCTGTCATTTTACAATGTGACTATTTATCTTTCAAAGCCTAGAATTAATATAAGTGCTTCCAATGACTACAGAAGATTGGATACTTTATTAGCTATCATAATATACCTAGCATTATGTGAGCTGATTTTATGAAATTTATAAAATATAAAATTGATCCTAAGTGAAAGTGACTTAATCTAGCTCCAGCACTCACTCTGACTATCAGCTAAAGTGTGTTCACTAAAAAAAATCATTTGCTTTTTTTCCCCTCTGCAAACCCGAAGATAGTACTGCTTGGAAATACGATTCTCTGTAGAATTTACAGGTTGCTAAGAGGGCTCGTAGCTGGAGTATATATCATTCATCTGCTTTGACTTCCATAGCCTGAGAACATGCCTTATAATTTGGCCAAATGTCTACATGCTTCTTTCTCCTACACTTCCAAAGATAAGCGCGTTCGAGAAGGAAGGGAGGATTGCCTATAAATTATATCTCAACAAATTTGATTTTCAGAAGAGGTGGAGGAGAGGAAGACTAGCAGCACCTGAACAAAAGAAAAAACAATGAACTTGTCATTCCCATCAGCACATCCGTTGGTTGAAAAGGTGTTTAGATCTTTCTCCAACTCCACGAGGCTGCAACGGCAACCTGGCGTAGTATAAAATCGACCAGATGGGGGTAACAAATGAGCAGTCTTTGGCTCCCTCCTGCCAAGGGAGCGCTCAGAAACTATAAAGGTAAGAAGGAAAGAGATGAACAGCAATCTTCTCAACAGCCATCCTGGCTCTCGGAGGACCAAGGGGTATTCTCTCTCAAGTGTTGGAGGAAAAGTGCTTTGGGCCTAGGATTTTATACCCTGTCAAATTCGCATTCAGGTAGGAGAGTTTGTGTATTTGTTGTTACTGCAGCCATAACACATCACCACAAACCAGCTGCTTAAATCAACACGTATTTCTTATCATACAGCTAAGTAAGTGAGACGTCTCAACTGGCTCAGTTAGTTTCTCCACTCTGAGCTTCACAAAGCCACAATCAAGGCATCGGCCAGCTGGGCTCTTAGCCGGAGACACTAGGAGGAATCTGCTTATTCAGATTGGTGATGAAATCCAGTTTCCTGGAGTCTCTGGACCGAGAGCCCCTCTTCCTTGCTGGCTACCAGATGGAGGCCCTCCTTAACTCCTATAGGGCCTCTGTCTTGCATATGGTCCCTTTCATCTCAGAGCCAGCAATAGGACACCAAATCTCTCGACCACTCCTCCCTTGCCTCCAGGCTGAGAAAGTCCTTCATTTTCGAAGGGCTCATGTGATTAACTGGGCCCACTCAGATGACCTGGGATCATCTCCCTGTCTTAAGGTCACCTGAGTAGTCATTTTAATTACATCTGCAAAGCCCCTTCATAAGAGTACCTATATTAACATTTAATTGAGTAACTAAGGAACATAAAACTTGAGAGAAATCTTCAGAATTCTGAATACCACGGTGTATTAAAAATAGTTTTGAACAGGTGTGCCTGGGTAGCTCAGTCGGTTAAGCAGCCAATTTGGGATCAGGTCATGATCTTGCAATTTGTGAGTTTGAGTCCCGCATTGGGCTCTGTGCTGATACCTCAAAGCCTAAAGCCTGCTTTGGATTCTGTGTCTCCATCTCTCTCTGCCCCTCCCTCACCTGTGCTTTAGCGCTCTCTCTCTCCCTCAAAAGTAAATAAACATTTTTTAAAATTAAAAAAAAAATAGTTTTGAACATACAGAGCCTAAAGAATCTTTTTCCCAGAAAGTTCCAACCTGAAAATATCTTTTGGATAAAGTATTCCAATAGTAAGAGAAACACATCCAGGGGATGTAACAGGAGAAATAAGGAGAATGAGTAACCAATTTTGCTAAAATTTTAATTTGTAAAAGATAGTTAAAATTTTGTTAAAAAAACAAATTTTTAATTGTTAATTCGTTAAACATTACTGTTAATCCTTAAGGAAAGGGTGTGAAGGGGGAAGGAAATTTATATCACAGAAAAGAAGAAGTATAGCAACAACTCAGAAATAAAACTCTGGGTAATATCAGGGAAATGGGATGGAAGAGGAACACACAAGAGATGTGAAAACATGCTAAATATTTTTTAAGGATGAACAAAAACAATGATAAATAAATAAATAAATGTAAATAAACATTAGTATGGATCAAAGTTTGAAGACAATGATTCTAAGAAAAATAGAATGTATAACTAGCAGAAGAAAACTCAGTACAGTAAAAAGAATAGCAGATATGGAGAGGGAATTTTTTAAAGCATAATAAAGAAAAATACGATGGCTGAGATAACTCATACTGTATTAGTAGCAATCACAATAAAGGTAAACTATTAACCTCTCCAATTAGAAAACTGAAAAATCTCAGGTTAGATCAAAAAAAGAATCCAGTGCCTACATTGTTTTCAAAAGGCATCCTTAAAATGAAAAGAAACAGAAAGATTCAAAATAAAAAACCTGATTTTATTGTACGCTAGGCTCATTGCAGAACCAACATTAAAAGTTGAAAGGCTTAAAACTTAATATACACTAAAAATAATGAAGACGGTAAACTTCATGTGGTTTGATCACATTTAACATTTTTTGAATGATTTTTTAATGCCATTTGTCTTCCTCAGGCCGTAGGTCCGATGTGGATTTATTAGCAAGAAGATCCTGCTCATTAAATAGAAGAACAGCACTAAGAATCTTCTGTAACTTGGAAGAATCATTGCAGAAGTTTTCCGGATGCGTGGGCGGGCAGAGATTCCGCGCCACCAGTTTACGGAGTGAGGGTGGCGTCACAGTGCTGAGGTCGGGCGGCGGGGGGCGGGGCAAAGCCGGGGTTCCCCTGCGCAGAGCCGGTGTTACCCGGGGCCGGGAGCACAGTCCTCTCCCTGCGCTCCCGCCGAGTTCCCCACGCTGCTCCGCCGCACTTTGGCTCTTGGACCCTCCGAGGGCTTCGGCTCGCGATGGCGCTCACTGCGGCCACCAACTTTGGAATCGGCTTCCTCGCGCTGTTTGTGCTGTCCGGCTGCACCTGGGCCGCGCGAGGCGAAAGTAAGTTCATGGGTGCGACGTGCGGCGGGCGAGAAGACAGGTGAGTCCCGGAGCTTTGGGACACTGGTCGCCAGGTAGCGCCGCCGCCCTCTCACGTCCCCGTCCCGGGCTCCTCTCCGGCCCAGCGGCGTCCGTGGGGCGGGTGTCGTCCTCCGGGACCGAGAAAGAGGTAACTTGGGCGACAATGTGCGGCCAGTCGCTAGGGGCGCGGAGGGCCGGGAGTGGAAGAGCCCGCGCAAGGAAATCTGCTGTCGCCCCGGCCGCCGCCTGCCGCTTGCGGAGCCTGAGCCCGAGCCCCTGCGGCCCAGGACTCCGGCAGGACAGAGGGCGATCCCGCAGCGCCCGGACCCCAGAAAATCCCCGGACTCTGCGCCGCTCACACAACTTATCTCTTGGGTTACCATCCCCATTGCTGTTGCCACCCAGCGCCCAGGGGCAGCTCGCTGTTCCAGGCACATGCAGCGCCCCCGACCTCTCTGCCAGCGCCGTCCCAGCACCTCCCAGCTCGGGGCGGGCAGCTCGGGAATCCGATGGCCAGAGACCTCCGGCCCCCCCCCCCCCTCCCGGCCCCTGGGCCACGCCTGCAGCCTCTTCCTGGTGGGACTGTCCCTGCTGCAAGTGGCAGTGTCTCGCTGGAACACCGTGGGGTCCCTTCCCGATATTCCAATGGGGACGTCCCAGAGGGCCCGGAGCACCTTTTCCTAACACAATACCTCTGCGTCCCCGCTTCTCCACGGTCCTGTGACCCAAGAAGCCGGTCCAGCCACACTCATTCATCCGGGTCCTGCTATGGCACTTCCCTGCCACACTGGCGCTGTTGAGTAGTTACCACGGAGGCGATGAAGTTATTGAATATGTGCACAGAATCTTTGCACCAGGCGGGCATTTACATGAAAATGGAATAGGGCTCACACCCCTACATCCTTAAAGAGGCTTTAAGGTTGATAGTCACATCTATCATTTCATCCAGGATAAGGCACTGTCTTAACATTCTATTTGGACAAAAGAACAGACCGTATACGAATATTGCACTTGAATTTCTCTACCACAGAGCCCCCAAGCCCAACAACTACAAAGATTTTTCATTCCCGTTACAAATCCAGGGAATGTGACATGATCTCTATGTGGGTGCCTGGATGAAATGGCACCCAAGTGAACAGTACTTGGAACACCAGTATTTGCATTACCTGCCCTGAACCCCCACCCCCACTGCCCTGCCCCACTTCAATAACAGGGGACCCTGATGACACCTCAGGTCCCTGAGGATGATGTCAACTCACACACTACGTCCTATTATGTGTGTCTGCGTGATTTCTACTTCTCAGTATACTTACCCCAGTAAATAGCCATGTGGCTCTTGGGGAAGGCCAGGAGGAATCATTCTACTTGTTATCCGCCTCAAGAGTCCCTCCTCACTGGACCCTGGCCTCTCCTTCGAGACCTGGGTCCCAGGTCAGAGAAGTGGTTCAGTTCTTGAACCTGGGCAAAGGATCCAGCCTTTCTGTGGGGTGGCTGCTGTCAGCCTGGGGTTTTGTGTTTCTTTGTTTTGATTAACACCTGTAATCTCTGGGTTGGCTTCCAACTACTTTGCCTCCACAATCACTGTGTTCTGTGAGCCACAGGGATGGACAGCTTTCTGTGGGTCAGGCCCCTGGCTGCATTCCAGCGTCTAGGATCATTTCGGTCGTTGTCGCCTCCCTGCTTCTGACAGTTGAGCGCGTGTGCCTCAAATCTATTCTATCAGGATTTCCCACCCCCCAATACTCCTGGGAGCCTGATTCTGCAACACCGTCGCGTACCGACAAGCTCTGCATTCAAAGATGGCCGACACTAGGCTTCTTTTTCTTAAATTTATTCATTTTGAAAGAGAGAGCGCACCCAAGCGTGCAAGTGGGGGAGGGACAGAGAGAGAGAGAAAGGGAGAGAGAAGGAATCCCAAGTAGGCTCGGCAACATCAGTGCAAAGCCCGATGCAGGGCTCAAACACACAAACCTCAAGATTGTGATCTGAGCCAAAGCTGGACACGTAACTGACTGATCCACCAAGGGTCCCTTGCATCACTGAGCTTCTTGACCATGTTGGCACCCTTCACATCATGCATTCCTTTATTTTCTTTAATTTTTTAAATTATTTTTTTCATGTTTTATTTATTTCTGAGAGAGAGAGAGTGTGAATAGGGGAGGGTCAGAGAGAGAGCGAGATACCAAATCTGAAGCAGGCTCCAGGCTCTGAGGTGTCAGTACAGAGCCCGATGCGGGGCTCGAACCCACAGACAGTGAGATCATGACCTGAGCCGAAGTCGGATGCTTAACCAATTGAGCCACCCAAGGTGCCCCCATTTAATTTTTTTTTAAATCCCAGTTAGTTAACATCTAGTGCAACAATGGTTTCAGGAGTAGAATTTAGTGATTCCTCATTTACATGTACCACCCAGTGCTTCTCCCAACAAGTGCCCTCCTTAATGCCCACTACCCATTTAGCCCATCCCCCCACCCATCACCCCTCCAGCACCCTCAGTTTCTTCTCTGTATTTAAGAGTCTCTTATGTTTGCCTCTGTCTCTGTTTTTACCTTATTTTTCCTTCCCTTCCCCTATGTTCATTGGTTTTGTTTCTTAAATTCCACATATGCATCATGCACATGATATTTATCTTGTCTAACTTATTTTCCTTAGCATAATATACTCTAGTTCCATCCACATGGCTGCACATGGCAAGATTTCATTCTTTTTGATCACTAAGTAATACTCCATTGTACATATATACCATGTTTTCTTTATCCATTCATCCGTTGATGGATGTCTCAGCTCTTCCCATAATTTGGCTATTGTTGACAGTGCTACTATAAACATTGTAGTGCATGTGCCCCTTTGAATCAGCATTTTTGTATCCTTTGGATAAATACCTAGTAGTGCAACTACTGGGTTATAGGGTAGTTTCTTTTATTAATTTTGTCAGGAAGCTCCATACTGTTTTCCAGTTTTCCAGAGTGGCTGCACCAGTTTGCACTCCCAGCAGCAGTGCAAAAGGTTCGCCTTTCTCTGTATCCTCACCAATATCTGTCATTTCGTGAGTTGTTCATTTTAGCCATTCCGACAGGCATGAGGTGGTATCTCATTGTGGTTTTGATTTCTATTTCCCTGATGATGAGTGTTGTTGAGCATGTTTTCATGTGTCTGTTAGGCGTCTGGATGGTTTCTTTGGAAAAATGTCTCTTCATGTCTGTCAGTCATTTCTCACTGGATTATTTGTTTCTTTGGGTGTCAGGTTTCATAAGTTCTTCATAGATTTTGGATAGTAACCTTTTATCAATATGTCATTTGCCAATATCTTCTCCCATTCCATCCATTGGCTTTTAGTTTTCGTCATTGTTTCCTTTTCTGCGAAGAAGGAAACAGAGCTCCTCTTGATGAGATCCCGATAGATTATTTTTGGTTTTGTTTTCCATGCCTATAGACCCATGTCAAGTAAGAAGTTGCTGTGGCCAAGGTCAAAGGAGTTGTTGCCTCTTTACTCCTCTAGGATTTTGATGGTTTCCTGCCTTACATTTAGGTCTTTTACCCATTTTGTGTTCATTTTTGTGTACGATGGAAGAACGCGGCCCAGGTTCATTCTTCTGCATGTGGCTGTCCAGGTTTCCCAACACATTTGCTGAAGAGACTTATTCCCACTGGATAGTCATCCCGCTTTGTCAAAGATTAGTTGGCCATGCGTTTGTGGGTGTCATTCTGGGTTTTCTGTTCTATTCCATTGATCTATGTGTCTGTTTTTGTGCCAGGACCATACCGTCTTGCTGATGACAGCTTTGTAATACAGCTTAAAGTCCAGAATTGTGATGCCTCCAGCTTTGGTTTTCCTTTGTCTCATTACTTTGTTTCTTCTGGGTCGTTTCTGGTTCCATGCCAACTTCAGTATTATTTATTCATGCTCTGTTAAGACTGCTGGTGTTATTTTGATAGGGATTGCATTGAATATGTACATTGATTTGGGTAGTAGTGCCATTTTCATTATATTTGTTCTTTCCAGTCCGTGAGATTGGAATGTTTTTCTATTTCTTTTTCTTCTTCAATTTCTGTAATAAACTTTCTATAGCTTGCAGCATATAAATCTTTGGCTTTTTGGTGAAATTTATTCCTAGGTCTTTTAGGCTTTCCACATAGCGTATCATGTGGTCTGTGAAGCATGAAAGTTTCACTTCTTCCTTGCTGATTTGAATGCATTTGATTAATTTTGTAGTCTGATTGCTGAGGCTAAGATTTCCAGCCCTATGTTGAACAACAGTGGTGAGAGTGGGTATCCCTGTGGTGTTCCTGACCTTGGGGGGAAAGCTCTCGGTCTTTCCCCATGGAAGATGATATTGTCGGTGGGTGTTTCATACATGGCCTTTATGACCTTGAGGTATGATCCTTCTATCCCTACTTTCTTGAGGGTTTTTATCAAGAAAGGATGCTGTTTCTTGTCAAATGTTTTCCTGCTCCTATTGAGAGGATCATTCGGTTCTTCTCCTTTCTCTTATTAATGTGATGTATCCCATTGATTGATTTGCGGATACTGAATCAGCCCTGCAGTCAAGGAATAAATCCGACCTGATCCAGGTGAATAATTCTTTTACTGGATTGTTGGATTTGGTTGGCTAGTGTCTTGTTGGAGAGTTTGTGCATCCGTGTTCATCAGGGAAATTGGTCTGTAGTTCTCCGGTTCAGTGGGACCATGCATTCTTGACGAGTTTCACTGAGCGTCCTCCAGACCTCTGCATGAGCATAGTTGACTGGCATATTTTTTGTTCTGTTTTGGCCTTTCTTACTAGATTTGTTGTGTCATATGCACTTCTTTGGGCCTTTTTAATCCCTTCTACCACTAAGTGTCTTGGAATTCCAGATGTTCTAGTCTGTGCCATGTGGACCTTCCTGTTTTCCAAGCCTCCAAGGCCCATCCTAATGGCAGATTATCAGCATCACCAGGTCTGTGCTAAATCCTGTGACCAGGAGTGTACATTCTCTCT